AAACTATATTTCATTAAGTCCTAGCTCCACAAAGTAATAGTTAAATAACTTTAAGGGTTCCTACTCAATATGAGAATGAAATGTCTGGTTGGGAATGAAGTCCTGGGTGTAAAACAAATTTTAAATGTTCACTGTTATTTACAAGTTCTAAATAATTTCTTGGCTTGTGAAGGGTGTGGCTGTTAGCTGTCCAGTTCATTGAGCAGATTAAAATTAATTTCAAAGTGAGATCTTCAGTTGTTTAGCTGCAAGGGAATGAGGAGTAGTGAACTTAAATTGTACTTCTACTTAACTCTAAAATCCTTGTCATCAAGGGGTGAGGGGGAAGACTTAGTTGCTCCAGTAGAAGATGTACAACCACTTCTATTTAGGTAGGAATCCTAAAAACAAGTGACAGAATTAATTGTCTGGAACTGGGCGGAAGTTTAGTTGCCTTACTGTTGAAATGACAGCTGTTTACGTAACTTTTGTTCAGGTCTCACTTCAAATGGAGCTGTGTCGGATTTGTGGGTAGGTGGTAAGTAGTACGCAGGATAGCCTTGCTGCAAGAAGAATGTGTGAAAAGACCACTTAGAGCCTGGCCTATTACCCAGCTAACTCAGCGATAAAGTTGACACAAGCTTGGCAATTGTATTCCAGCTGTTTTCTTTAGCCTGTGGAATAAGTGGTTGGTATATGATTGTGAAATCAAATAAAATATAACAAAATCAGAAATCATAACATCCTTCTGTACTTTGCATGGCACTGCTCAGTTGGCATAGCAGTGTCCCCAAACTTGGGCTCAGTTTAATTTAAATGCTCCACCTCCGCAACCTAGCCCTGTTCTAGGTGGTGGTGCTTAGAAGTCACGCTTGCCTAAAAATTGCTTTTTGTTCTCTTTCCTAGAGCGAGGAATACACAACAGGAGTTCTGGAGACTGGAGCAACTGAGCAGCCACTGCAATGGTGAAGGTGGCTCAGGCCACATCCTTCCTCCTTAATCTCCACCTGGGACTCCAAGTGGGAGGTGATTTTGGGGGCGGATTTGTGGAGGATACTGACCTACCAAACAGAAGGGTAATACAGCCTGTTTGCAGAACAGCCTGTTTGCAGAAATAACAGAAGGGAGGGTCCCCATGGAGGCGGTCCACTTGCTTATAAATCCATCTGTAACAAAGACTTATTTTCAGTATAAAGGGATTCATGAATGCTAAATCAGGGAAAGTAACAATGCATTTAAGAATTGTACTAAATATATATTTATATAAAAGCACAGTACTTTATTTTAACTCCATACAAAAAGTGGCGATTAAAAACATTAAATAGATAATGAGTTTTATTTTGAAGATCATTAAGTCAGTTTTTAAAACGTAGCGATTTGGCTTTGGTTACTTCAGCCCCTTTATACTTACAGCTCCCGCCGCCTGTGTTACAAGCAGGTGCTATAAACAGCGACTTTCTGGCTTATATCTTTTAGGAGTGAACGGACTTCTCCTTCCAATCTTACTAATTCTTGAGCTTTATCTTCTAAATATTTTTGATTGTCCTCATACTTTCTTTCTAAATCTGGAAGATAAAAAGAGGAGGTCTGAGCAGTTACACTATGAAGACCTCGAGATCAAATACCCATCCTTTCTGCCTGTAAGTTAAGTGCCTAAGACAAAGTGAATCGACTTTTGCCTTTTAAGTAAGCTGCCCTAATTTTAAAATACTTTATAAGATCATGAGTCTAAGTGAAAAAGAAAAATCTACCTTTCAGGAGTTGCAGCTTGCTGTTTGCTTGAGCCAAAAGCGTTTTTGCTTCATTTTGTAGCATTTCGGCTTTCCTTCGTGCATCAGCCGACTCTTCAGTTTTTTTGGCAATTAAATTTTCTACTTTCTTGTACTTATCATCAAGTTCACCGTCGAGAGTCTGAAGTTCCACATTTAGGCACAAAGAGGTAATACTGTTAGTGACATTTAATAGTAGTAGTGTAATTGTGGCGAGCTTGGCTAACACAGAACTTGCTTGGTAAGCATTCTGAATTAAAGGCCACCACCAAGAGGACTCTGCTTTTGGGGTTGTATTAGGTCACAGGCTTGGTATTGGTCCAACGTGTGTTGTAAGAGAATTGTATGGAGGGAGAGTTAGAGAAGCAGGTTTTCTCAAAGGTAGGTGTGCTAAGATCCAAATATTTAGACATCAAAAAAAGTTTTGAAAAAATGGGAGGACCATCGGATCTAGACTAATTATCAGGAAATCAGAGGCAAAAGGACAAGACTGTAGCACATGTAGGGTTGGTGTGGGTCTGGAAAGATGGTTGCAAGTAATTCTTTTGAGAGACACTGAACAGTAGCCATTGATGAAGGAATTTCATGTCAAGGGGTTTTGTTCCTCTTAATTGCACTCAAATTTTATTATTTATGCAGAATGCTCTGTAAGAAGACTACTTGGGAGATTTATGCTCTCAGACCTGTAGGAAATTACAAAGAACCAAGAGACAGATGTGACAGTGAACTTATCTTTCTCTCTTCTCCAACCCAGCGGTGTAGGGAAGTCACCAGTATGTAATGCCTAAAAGCTATAGTAACTTCCAGGAAAAATCTTGACTTCAATTTATAACTCCCTGTATTCATTTAACAGTTTCAGCACTCCCCTGAGAAGTTTAAAAAAGCTTCTTTAGAGATTATTTGCTTATACAAATTAAGAAATTAAATGTGTTTTAATGATTACCTGGCTTCTAGTGAAAAATCTGGGTTTGAGATTTTTCACTGCAAATTACAGTACCTTCCAAAGAGAAGCCAGGGGTGGTTAATTCCAAATGAACACAGAAGAGGCGAGATGTGGTTGCCGCCTAGCTGTTCTGTGAGGATGATCTTTATGGCAAACAGTAATTACCTGGCCATTTGAGAAATCTTTAAATGTAGGGTAGAAAATGCTTTAAGAATTCCTAATTAAAATACAGAAATACAAGCTCAGTATGCTTGTTTAACCGGTAAGTTAAATTTCATTTTTCTAAACTCTTACCCACTTTGGGGATTTAAGTGCTTACATCACATGTACGGATACTTTAATATCCACTCCCATTCTTCCCCATCTGTCTCTCTGAAGACTGCTATTTCACAATAGGTCATTTGGGATGTTTCTGATGAACAACCATGTTAGGTCCATGTCCCCTGTTAATTCCAAGGAAGTCAAAGGGGAGAATAGTTGCTCCTTTATCAACATACCTATGAAGTTAGAAAGATTTCCTTACCTTCTTAACATCTTCTGCACTTTGTTTCACACTGTATACTACTTTTTCAATATATTCTGCCTCCCCGGAGTTCTGGGCAGCTTTCCGCTTAAGTTCTTCCACGTTCCTCTCTAGCTCACTGATGCGCTGGGAGGCATTGAACAAAGTTTCCTCAGAAGCTGCGGTTTCAGATTCAATCTGAAAGTATAAGTTCGGTCATCCAGTGAGACATTAATTCAAGAAGCAGTAGGAAGTGCTCTCAGTACAAGTTAGAGGAAGATTTCAAATGCTGCTATGCCACTGCTCTGGAAAAGAATTACTAAAAAGAAAATACCATTTCAAGAACAGTTAGTTATTGCTACATCTCATATATTACATTTATTCTTTTGGTAATTCTCATGAGTCTAGGCTGAAATTTACATAGAATTTTCCCTTACTGAACCAGGCCCAGGTAGCTTGATCTGTTGAGAAAGCATTTTAAGGGCACCTGCAAACTTTGGCTAAACAGCATTCACCAATAAGCAGATGTGGGTGGGGAGAGGGCTTTTCCACCTAAATTTCTAAATTAATGTGGGTGGGAAACTCCTCAGTCACCATTAGTTTTTTTCCATCAACTCTAGCTGGTAAACTTCAGTAGTGGCGGTTATACAACTTCCGAAACTACCTGGGGAGTTAAAACTGAGAGGTTACTGTAGGGTTGTGAGATGGCATGTGGCCTGGGAAGTCACAGCTGGAAGCTGTAGATACTCAAAATTATTTAGGGAAAAAGTGTCTCATGTGGGCAACTGGTGAGGAGCCATGCTTGATCTCTCTTCAAAGTACTCCATAAATACTGATTTTTAAATTTAAGAAAGGAAAGTGGCTGGGGAGCTGTCTGGTCTTAGGTTACTGACAGTAATTAGAATAGGGGAAGATGGGTTTGTATCAACTAATGGTGTGGAAAGCAGGTTGAAACCCACCTCCCAGGTTTTAAACATTAGGGGTTGTTGGCTTGAGAAGGATAAACACCAAGTAACAGGAGCCTCTAATGTCACAGTACATTCTGAGGAGGTGAGTGTGGATGAAATGAGTCATCAATTTTTACCTGTTTTCGTAACAAAAGAACTTTCCTAAAATTGGAAGGAAAAATTTGCCTACAGAACAGTTTTGAAAATTGCAAGAATAAAATGTTTGCATTACTTTTGAGAGATGAGATTTTTTAGAATACAGCAGACTAAATCCATGTGAAAAATTTTAGTGGGGATCTTAAATATCCAGGAGACTCTAAGGATATTTTGCTTATAAATTAATTTTTCAGTGCATTCTGAACAAGACTGTTCAGCTGTAAGATCTCGGGTTGTTTCCTCCAAAACTGGGTATTGGAAGCAGACATTTTGACCTTTGTTGCTTCCCAGTGGTTTTCAAAAATATAGTCATGTTTCTGTGAATGAGCACCCAGTAGGTCTTGAGACACTGGTCTTAATCATAGAGTTGTTTTGGGGCTGCTTTAAATAACACAGGAGGACTTTTCTAAACTTGGATTTGGAAATTAACACTATGCATCATACTACTGAATAAAGCTGTGTGATTCCTTGAAGGAATAGGAAATTACGTTTTTATCTTAGGCTTTTTATGGAGCTGAAAATGAAAGGGGGCTTAATGTTTGTCTTCAGAGTCCTTTTTATTCCTCGAAACTGTTACACTTTTAGCATCTGTGCTAAAGGAGTAAGCAGTTCAGAGCTCTACAAAGGGCTCTGTCAATGTTCAGTAGTAACTGACGAGTGCACTTCTCTTGTGCCAGACTACGTGACTGTTCTCTGACACACACACAAGTGACTGTCATCACTTACTGAAGTCAGCAGGTTCTGGGTTCCTTGGATGTCTTCATCTGCTTGTTTAAGGGCCTTCTCTGCTGCAACCTGGGCCTTTTCTGCTTCTTCCAGAGCTTCTTTCACCATTTCTGCCGTGACTTTAACATCTGTTGCGCTTTTGCTGAGTGAAAGAATGAGACAATACATGTGAACATGAAAGTACTTTTCCTCAGAAGAGAACATTTCTTTTGAAGAACAGGCTTCCCAGAGAGACTCACAACTCAGAGAGTGCACTTGTAGAAATTTCACTAGTTAAAGAAACACTTTTTCACTCCCTGCTGGATACATGAAATAAGCCCCCCTAAATGCCATGCTGTTTTCTGATACCTGGCTCTTTGAGCTTCCTCTAGCAACAGCTCAGCTCGGGCAATGTCGGCAGCGCTCTGCTGTAGAATGACCTCTACTTGAGACAGGCTTTCAACCCGTTGACGAATATCTTCCGTCAAGTTCTGTAACTGCTCAGGGGTGCTAGGCATTTCCATTCGCAGCACTTCATTAGCAACGGCTTCAATGCTGTCCAGATCAGCACTGTCCTCTGTTAGAAGTAGAGATGTTCCCGTGAAGAGGTGGAAACCATGGATGGCTCTCCCATTCAGACACGGTACGGCGGGGGGGCTAGTGTCTGACTGACTGTCTGTCTTGATGAGGTGGTGGCTAGTGTCTCAATCTAATGGAGGAAGAGGAGGAGTCTAGTGTGTCTTTCCTTCTGTGTGTCTATCTACTGGAGGAGGAGGCTAGAGTGTCTGTGTATGTCTATATGTCTGTATATCTGTCTACTTGAGGAGGTGGCCTATGTGTCTATCTAATGGGGGAGAAGCCTAGTGTGTGTGTGTCTACGTCACTGTCTATGTAATGGAAGAGGACAAGGTGGCTAGTGAGTCTGTATCTTTCTGTCCGTCTGTCTACCTGTTGGAGGAGGAAGAGGTTAGTGTGACTGTATCTTTCTATGTGTTTGTGTATCACTAGAGGAGGAGGGGTCTAGTCTGCCT